TGTCTGCTTGCACAGAAGCATGTTGCGATGTGAATCTCCCCATCCAATTCTTACTCGATGACACACATTTCGTGTGTTTTATGTGAGCAGTTCTGTTCGAACAGTTGGAGTAGAGAATATTGTAAGTTACTGCTAGCAAAACAATGCGAACTATGTAATTATTTTCGGTAATCCAGACACTTTTGGTAATCTGACACACCTTTGGTCCCTGTCGGATTATCAAGGGACAACTGTAGTTAAATTATAATGCAGACATTATATTACATTTTAACAAATGTTTTTTCTGATTTTTTTTATACTTATACTTCAAAGAATTCTATTTCTTACTTGTAAGAGAAGTACATATTTATTTTTAAGTAAAGAGTGGTTTTGCAAAATGTCAAGATTCAACTTTAAATTAGAGTTGATGATTCAATTCAAGTTTAAAAATTTTTACTCAAAGTCAATAAATTATATTTCAGATTTTATAATGAATAAATACCAGTTTCTCTAATAAAATTTGAATTCTCTTTTATTGGAGTGCACATATTTAAGTCAACTAAATCTTCTCTAGTAAGTTTTAGGCATGGATGAACATCCATGCCTAAAACTTACTAGATAATGAGCTCTTGATAATGGGCTTAAAAGTGAAGAAGATATGATTGATTTAAATGCATATCCTTCACTGAAGCAGAATTTCGATATTATATATTAATACACTTGTAGAAGAAACACCAGAAATAAATAATTATTTGTCTTCATATCTTTGTTCCCTTCACACAGTTAGGATTCAACAACAGTCTGGTAAAAGCATTGAGCAAGAGAAAAGCAAGAGGCCCTTGTCTGTCTCTGCAAAGAATTAAAAACTATTATATTTTTGAAATGGACAAGAACCTTTAAGAAAAGGTAAACTCTGTCAACACTTTCATCAGACTGGTGTTTGAGCCTGAAGGTATGAAGGGGATAAAGGTGTGAAAATACAGTGGTACCTTGGTATGCATCTGCTTTAGAATACGTCCAATTCGGAATACATCCTGTTTGGACGAAACAAATTTTGCTTGGTAAACGACTTAATTCAATTATACGAGCCATTTATGAACAAGTAGCACTATCGGTGTACTAGACTAGACTAGACGTTCGCGGTGCCACGGTTTATAACTTTATTAAATTTCTTCTGATTTTAATTTGTAAGTAAAATTTTATTATTTTTATTAATCATGAATTGCAAAAAGGCAAATGAAAAGCAACAGAAAATTAAAAAAAATGACTAGAATCACAATGAAACTGAAAAAAAGAGATTATTGAGAAATATGAAGGTGGCATGAGTGTTTGAGATTTAATTGTTGCATACCATATTCCTAGAACAACAGTATCGACGATCATGAAAAATAAAGACATTATTAAATCTACTAACATTGCAAAAGGAGTTAAATCAATTTCTAAACAGAGATCGAAGACATTAGATCATGTTGAGAAATTGCTTTTGCTTTGGATAACTGAAAAACAGTGTGCTGACAACAACCTATCAGAAGCAATTATTTGAGAGAAAGCTAAAAAAACACATGCTGATCTCATGAAAAATCAAGCAGGAACTAGCCAGGAAAGTGAGATGTTTCAAGCCAGCCATTTTTTTTACATGAGAATGGATTAATCATTTTTACATTACTTCTTATGGGAAAGGTTGGTTTGGTATACGTCCTATTCAGTATAAGTCCAAATATCAGGAATGGATTAAGGTTGTATACCAAAGTTCCACTGTAGTTTTATTTATTTTTGATATTTTTCTACGAGTGTAAAAATAAATGTCTTCCTGGTACATATTCATATTTGTAATATATATATAGCCTATTAGGTTTTTACTGTGAATTTTGGGTTTGATTCTGATAATTTATCATGGATAGTTAGAGCATCATTCCTCATTTATGCTGGCTGGATTCTTTTGTGGATCTAAATATTTGGAATGAGTAAAAATTGGACCTCATCAATAACTCATAATATGCTAATTAGTGACTACAGGATAATAATGAACACAATATTTATATTCATTACTGGAACCTATTACAAATACAGTTTTGGCCCTGAATACTAAATACTAATCATTGATAATAATGACATGTTGTCATATATGCTATTAATGAATTATAATCAAACTTCAACACAACACCTACACTTATACATATCTGCATGCATACAGAGTGCAACCACAAAATCTCTGTGTAATGCATGTTTATTAATAGTTATTAGTATGTTCGTCTCCATTCTCTGCATAAAGTTTAAGTTTTCCTTGTGTTATGCTGAACTTTTTATTTCATGTAAATGATTGGAAATCATTAAAACAACCCTTAGAAACTGTTCTTAGATCTCAGCCATTGTTTAAGAAAGTTTCTCTTTCATATCATGTCATGGTGAATTTTTATATTATTAAATCTGAACTTTTTTAACTCTATGCAACTGGCTTGAAGTGGGACTCGAACTCAACTCCTATGCCAAGACCTATGCTACATCAGATCTATAGTTAATTCAATGTTCACTAAATTTGCCATTGAGATTTTGTGGCCACCCTGTAATCATAGGTGATAGTATATAACATATGCATAACTATTAATATATTAGTTATTATTTGATTCAATTTTGATCTGAAGAAATATGTTACAGTAAGAAATAGTTTAATTTTGAATAAAATTGTGACACAAAATATATGTTAAAATAAACTGATATATAAATATTTGCTTTTAAAAATAAGTTTTGATACCAGAGTCTAGATTAGAAGTTTTTAAATCAGAAGACCATATTCTATTTCACAGGAGTTTTATAATGTTTCATTTTATATTACAGATTGCATACATTGCAATCTTTATACATTGAATCAGACACTATTACTCACTATTAACAAATGATTGAGCTAAGCTGTTGTGATCAAACTTAGACAAAGAATGATCTTGACTTCTTTCTTAGAGTGCCAATGAACATGTAAACAACTCCATAAACTTTTTACATGTAGGAATGAATTGATCTGTCAGCACATATGTTTTTAGTGTCTGCCTAAACAATTAAAAGACTTGTTCTGTTATGTGATGGATTCCTGACTATTTGGTTAGTTAGGATGCCACCTTAAATTGGACTGTAAAAGGAGGAGGAGGAAAAAATGCCAGGATAAATAGTCAAGTAGCTCTCCCAAATTATTAGTTATATATGTCCATATATTGTATAATCTTGTAAACAGTTTATCTACCATATAAAAGCTTTGTGTTTTGTAAATAAATGTACCTTTTTATTTTATCCAAAGTTTTATTCCTAACCTTTAGAAGTATAGATTCTTGACTTGGCTAATAATGTTATTTTACCAAGAGATAGAGATATGTGATCTGTGGAGAGGTCCAAGGACCTACGTCATATCTCCCTTTGGAAGAGGGTCAAAGCAGGAAGCATGGAGATAATAAATTAACTTCTGAACCTTGAGAAGGAAGAAGGATAGAGAAATTAGAAAAGTGCATTATGGAAAACAATCCATATAAAATGAAAGGCAGAGATTATGTATATGTCTGAACCTTGAGTCATATATTATATTTAAACAGATTTAATAATCCATTTATAAAAAAAGAATGACAAACATACTTCCATAATATAAAATTCATAACAGGAAAATTAAACTTGTATCATTTTATACTTTATCAAACATAAGAAAAACCTGCAAGATGCCTTGTGCAGCCTGAAAGCTACATATTCTACACATCTAATCTAGACTATAGTTTAATTCAATAATCAGAATTATAGAACATGGCAATATTTAAATAAATTTTTACAGTATTATAGTTCTTAAAGAGAAAGAAAAGATCACAGATGTGTTTTTCATTAATTCCATTCATTCAAAAAGACATCGCAATTAAAAGGAGCTTTATTTGGCTCACTATATGTTTTGACCATTATAAAATAGTCCTCCTCTGATGTATATTGAAGATGTCACTAAATTTAAATAAATTTACAATATAACTTTAAAATTTACACACAAATATCACATGATACCATTTTAATGTTTAAGCCATGGGTTTTTCCTTCTTGAGAACTAGAATAATATAATCCCTTCATCTGTATTATACTTCAAAAACTTTTATAATATTTACTTAATTTTTCTGTTAGGTTATATCAATTTTAAAAAGTTTCAAAGAACTTCATCTGATGGTTAGAAAAGAAGCAGGTCTTCAACTCTTTTATAATGATTTAGTGACAAGTTCAACAACAAGAAATAACAATAATGAAACATGTATACATGAAAATTCTGTGCCAAGGTAAATTTCTTATTTCAAAAGTTGTATAGAAATGAAATATATTATTCAAATTTTTATAATATATTTTTCCAGAGATAAAGTTAATGGATATGTGACAACAAATGGCATTAATCATATTAATAACAACGTAGAACACAATAGTTGTACGTGTGAATCTGAAAAAGACTTTTCTCTAACTGAAGTAGAAGAAGAAGCTCAATGGAGGGGTTCAAATGATTATAGAAGACAGAATGGTTTCCTTTCTAATCCATATAGAAAATGCAATTCTCTTGAAGACTCTGGGCTAGCTGAAGAAAAAAGAAAATTAGAAGAAGAACAAAGACGACTGGAAGAAGAAAAAGAACAGTTAAAACAAGAGAGGAGAAGGTTAAATGAAGAAAGACAGAAAGCTAATCACACAGTTAAGGATACACTCCCAAAACCAAATTTTTTAACAGAACTTCAGATGATTGCCGAAAAAAGATGTAATAAAGAAAGGACAAATTTTGAAAGCATTGAAAAACCAGGTAAGTTTACCCAAATGGATCATGTTGTATTTCTTTATTGAATCACTGTATGTTAGAAGTAGCAGACAGTGAAGTTAAGTTGTACAGCAGTTATAGCTGACAGAAGAAGCAAAAACTACATTATGTCTAGCCTCACGAAAGTTTTTTAAATTAACAAAACTATGTTAAAATATAAGATGTCTCACTTAAAATTGACCCAACTGAGCTGATGAAACATTAGTGAAGTTACTTTCTATTTTAAATATACCTATAAAATTATATGAAACTTATATGCAAACTTAAGTAAACTATTTGCAGAAGCATTGAATCTATTGACCTCGGTATTTTACATAAGGTCAGTCGGAACATGATTATGCATGCATAAAGGTGCATAGATGCACAAGGACACCACTTTCAGCATATGTAAATTTCTGTATGGTTAAATAACATTAAAGTTTCTAGAGAGTGTCCTTTGCTTAAATTAATTTGTATAATTTTTGATGAATGAGACTGATTTCATATGAGACGTCTTGTATAACTCCACAATAGAACAAAATAAAAGGAAAAATTGTTTTAATACAGAAAACATTAATTAATAAGTTAACAGAGAAAAACATTAAGTGATGGTAACTTAAGATGAAAATGAAAATGAAACCCAACATTTTTTAGCTCTTTGATAAATGATAAGAAAAAATTGGGCTATTTAAACAAAAGTGTGGTTTATTAACAATCCCTATTAACAAGATTTCTGCTGTTTGTTTTATTGTTAAATAAAACACACTGCAGAAATCTTGTATATACATTAAGGTGACCAGATTTTAACATTGGTGAAACATGACAAAATTGAAAAACATTGTTCTAGAGCAGTGTTTCTCAATGGGGCGATATTGCCCCTATGTGGGCGTTTTTCCATGTTGAGGGGGCGATTAGTGACAATTTATATTTTGGGGGGGCAAAAAACAATTTTCTGGGCGATATAGTAAAACATTATATTAATTTAAGAATAATTAGATATTTTATTTGTTATATCGCACAATAATTAAACAAATAACATTATACTAGTCACAATCTATTCAATGCAGTACGAATTTGGCATTAGCCTTGGCCCTCAGCATCAGAATTTTGTAGTGAAGGGGGCAACAATTCGTCAGAGGTTGAGAAACACTGTTCTAGAGCAACAAAATTTTATTATCAAAGAATGCAAAAATTGTATTGTATTATATATTTTTTAAATCTCAACATATGTAAAATTTACAAATATAATAAATATATATATACTATTATAAATCTTTAAAAACTCTTAATTCTTTTGCATATTTCTCATTTGAATGAAATTTTTTAGTAGATTGCTGTCGTTGTTTAAAATGTCATGAAATTTTTTGCAAGAATTTGTTAAATTATATTTCACACATAATATGGCTTTCAAAGTCTCAACACTTAATTGTAATTTATCAGATGTCCACACTATATTTATGGTAAAAAAACATGTTCAGTCACGGCATTAGTTCCTGGTAAGAACAGCATGTATTCCACAATTTTTATATTCTGCACCATATTATGCACTATGTAACATGCAATGAACAAAATGTTTGCTTGTTTGGACAGCCTATGAACACATTCACTGCTCCGTTGCTGCAGCTGTGCACCCTAAACCATTTTCTGTTGATCTTTGCCACAAACACAAAGGGTTTTGTTAATGTAGCATTCTTTATTTCCAATGCTCACGCACACCTTGGCACTGATACGTGTGATACAAAATGATCTTTATAAATCTTAAACATAAGACATAAGTTTATGACACATAATTGACAAAAACTTAATTTTTCCAAAACTCAGGATTTTTTAAAACGCTACAGGATGCAGGACAAATTGTTAGAAATCGGGACTGTTCTGCCAATATTGGGACATCTGGTCACGTTAATATACATGGCTGTTAAGAACCGTGATAAATTGAACAATGAAATATTAGACTAGTATGCCATATTTTTGTGCATATAACTCAGATTATCTATATTTGAAAGTGATGAGGAGTGTATATTGGGATGGATTATGCAAAGGTTTTATTTTTGTTCTATTAATTTTATATGGGTTATATGATAACATTGTATATTATAACTTCAAAACTGTTGAAAATGAAATTGTTGAATAAAAACACTAAGTTTATTATTCTGTAAATTGTTGTTAAAGCAAACTGCAAGACTTTAACATCAGTTATATGTAAATTTTTGGATAGAAATAGCTGAACATCTGTGTTTTAATAGTAATCAAGCAAATTAAGACTCTCTGTAGCATATTGATTATGTGCCAGTATGGCTAAACTAACATGAGTTTTAATGTTACATCTTAGATGGCTGAAGTGGTAAAGGTGTTAGGATAAAAATAGACAGCATTTTTTGACCTTTGAGCCAGCTAATAAGCAAGCATTCACACCTAGTGAGGCAGCTGTTCTACAAAATCTAGCAGTGCCTACAGTAGAGATGGAAGGCTAGTATTTTGAACAATGTTGATTTCACATCTGAATGTTCACATTTGCCAGTATGGACAATTGACAACTTCTGCTGCCTGTTTGTTATGGGGAAACCACTACATTGCATTGCAGTTGTATTTTGCTCCATAGGATAATACATTGAGATGACAGTCAAGTTGATGGTTGACTCAACTAAAACTGCTCGATCTGCTTTTATCTTAGTCTAGTATTCTGGAGATCCACATTCACGTTCAGTAAATCTGATAAGTTTCATAGATGATTTGACTTTGATATGATGAGGTTAGTCCTGTTGTGAGCCTGTTGATCTTGTAATGAGCAAAAAATAACTATATTAGTATCTTAGTATCTACCTAGAAGGAGTTAAAAGAAAAAGAACTTAGATTATATTTTATAATATTGTAAATAATATACCCAGTTTAACTAATTGTAAATTTGTTTTTTATGTTTTATGCATTTATCATTTATAATATTACTTAAATGGAGAAAGTAAAAATATTTGATTATTAAAGAACAAATTTTATATCATCCAATATTTCTCATTATTTGAATTTTATTTCCAGTAAATGAAAACAGAAAATTTCCTGAAAATATAATAAAAAGACAACAACATGGTAAGAAACAATTTTTATTCTTCAAATATAAGAGTGGAACAAAAATTAATTTACACCTTGATTTAATTACTGTTCAGAAAGGGATAAAAACATTTTTCCTGATAGCACAACTGATAGTATTGTTGTCTCTTCCACTAAACAAATTTCAAATTTGTGTATAGTATTTGTTCAAACATAGCATAACATTTAAAAGTGTCATCTAAAGTTGAAACATTTGCAACTTTGTGCTTTTTGTGAGTAAGAAATCTCAGCCATGGTGAAATTTATCAGAAAATTAAGCACAAATATGGGTGGAATGTTCAAAAATGAATGAGCTAGTTCAGTGATTCCCGTTCAGTGACACACACAGGGTATGTGATAGGTTGCTTAGGGGTACAGAAAAAAGTTAGTTATTATGGCAGAAAAAATAATATATTATGTATCACAAATTAATAGTATTAAAAAATTATTGGGTAAAAAATGTTCGTTGCAATAATCACAAACTTTATTATACATTTCAAAATGCAAAAATAGAAATAAAAACTTATGCTGCCGATTGTACAATGCAACAGATCAATAAATGTTGCGCAGTTGGTCAATGGTAGTGGGAATACCATTATGTGTGATTAGTGATTATGCTACGGACTTTTGATGATGGGGTATGTTACCATTATTATTGTTATCTCTCAACAATATCCCCACGTGTTGTTTGAAAAAGTATTTTTTATTGTTAGCAAGTAAAAGGACATAGCTAGTTTCTCCAGATTTTCTCTACAAGTGGTAATTTTTTTCATTATTTATTCAGTATTTTTATTAAATTTTTATTGACAAGACTGTCTTGTTTATAAAATTGTACTGCCTGCTGTGTTACCAGCTTAGAGGTATGAAAGAGTACATGTCAGAAGTTGCAATTTGACACAGAGTATTAGGAGCCCAAATCCTGCGTGCATAAAAGAAAAACAGACTTGTAGGTATTCAGGGAACCGAGAACCAAGTCAAAATAAAATTCAAAGTGGCAACAGTCTCTACAAACAGGCAGTGTGAGATTTACACATGCGTTGCTGGTTGGAAAGTTGGAAATGCCACGGGGAGTATGCTCATGAAAAAAGGTTGGGAACTGCTGATCTAGATGGATACAGAGGTACAGTACAGTACCTGTGCATTGGGGACTTGAGGCATATGTCCACCTTTAACATCAGGTTGCTCTTTTCTTAATCCCCAAGAAACTTTAATGTTTCATTTTATTTTTAAATTAGTTACTTATTTTTATGACAGAAGACTTTTTTACTGATGACAAAATTAAAATAAAAATATTCAGGTCAATACAGTATATATATTGTATTGACCTGAATATTTTTGAGGACCTGAATATTATGTGATGTTTTTACTATCCCCTTTTTTTATGGATTGTGCCCCTCTCCAATTTTCATAGTCTGTGGGTATTGTTGGATAGATACAGAGCTGGACACCCTTCAGTCTCAAAACACAGTTGATAGTTTTTTATTGTGTGTAAATACAATCAGATCTATAGTGGTGCCACCTCCTTCAGATTTAATTTGTTCCAGGAGGCCATTCAAATTTCATTCAAACTCTGAATTGTTTGAAGTTTGAATTACTTTTCCCCAGTAGAAATAATGGAAAGTGAATTAATTCATTTTTCAGACTTTAAACATAACCCATTTCATTAATTTAAACAGCAAATACACTTAATTTAAGGTAAAAATAACACAATTTAGTGAGGAGTGGTGATGTCCTGTGTGGCTGATAAAGAGGAAGAAGAAGGTTACTGTTTGGAAGAGGAAACTTAAACCTCTTTAAACACACCAAGTAACTGTACTTCTGGGTTCTCTCTCTCTTCTGCATCTTAGCACTATTAGTTGATGGTGATTTTGTTTCCTTTTTTTCTATGTAGAAGAACCTTTTCAATGTAATCTGGTATTGGTGACTTTTCTGGATGTTCCATCATATTGTCATTGAGCAAATTTATTATACAATGCAATACTAAAAGTTATCTACAGTGTATAATGAGGATAAACAATTTGGGATTCTATATAGAAAACTGACTAAAATATTTCATATTGAAAACAGGTTTTTTATTTAAGTATAAGAAAAGTATATTCTTGAAATTAATAGAATTTCTTTAGTATTGGTTATATGTAGTGATGGATTATTGCAAAAGCTACATAGTGTACTCTAGGACCACCACATGTCTAGGGGCACCAAATTGGTAGAAAAATTATTATTTCACTTTAAAGCTTTAATTGACCTGAAGGTTTTATTTACATGAAAATGAAAAACAGTATGGTGATCACTGTGTTAGAATTGTGTATACATACCATATATATCTTGCTGGTGAGTTGCATACATTTTATGTTTATGGTACAAGTGTAACATGTGCAGATACATACATAGTTTAGACTGTATTCTTATAAAGTTTTTCTTATTTTACATTACAGGATGATTTAAATTTTTAAGGAATTTATCTTTCTCAAATAATAATAATAATAATAAATAATTACAAAAAGAGAATGTCAATCAGAATATTATAAAACTGTGATTATATTATTGTGTTAAGTAATCTTATATTACGTTTTTAGAAATGTTGATGGAAGAAATGCATGTTGCACATCGTAAAATGTTTGGAGAGGGAAAGACGTCAACTGTTAGTTCAATTAAAAACAATTCTACAAATAATGTAAGTATTAATAGAGAGACAATGAAATTTATTTAAAAAGAATATAATAAAATAAATATTATTATTTTTTATAATAAGTCATTAACATCCCACAGAAATTAATTTTATTATAGACTGAGTTTAAAAATACTGTTAAATTTCATAACACTAAAGAAATATAAGTAGGCTACAAGTTTTAATTATATAAATTCTTACATTATATCAGTTGTATGCAAATCAGGAACTAAATATAATTTTCTTTAACTTATTGATTAATTAATTAAAATTCTTTAGGAATTATGGAATGTTAAAACATTTAATAGAACAAAATCACCACCAGAAGTACCAATAAAGAAAATTTCTTCAAGTTTGCCAGTAGAAAATGGTCACAGCACAAGTGACAAAAGTAATGAGAAAACAAAATCTGATGTTAGTATCAATTGCAGTGAAATATTTATTTATTAATTTTAAGAAATACTAATTAGATTTGTAATTTATATTCCAGATAAATGATTGTAGGCAAGAATCTGAAGATGATGTAAAAGTTTTTACATTTTTGAAGGTATTATAAAATCATTTAGAGTGTTTGAATAGAATTTTTATATTAGAGAAAAACTAATTGGGTAATATAAGATTCAAGAATTATAAGGAGAAATTATAAATACATTTTAAAAATAATTCTGAATTTTAATATTTAATAAAACAACAACCATTATATTATTGTATAAAAATCATTAGTAAAAAGTCATTAAACATGATCTAGTTATTTTAAATATTAATAATTCTGTTAAAAGTAACTGAGTTTAATTAATCTTGGTGACTTTACAAGAGAACCAAGTCAAAATAAAATTCAAAGTGGCAACAGTCTCTACAAACAGGCAGTGTGAGATTTACACATGCGTTGCTGGTTGGAAAGTTGGAAATGCCACGGGGAGTATGCTCATGAAAAAAGGTTGGGAACTGCTGATCTAGATGGATACAGAGGTACAGTACAGTACCTGTGCATTGGGGACTTGAGGCATATGTCCACCTTTAACATCAGGTTGCTCTTTTCTTAATCCCCAAGAAACTTTAATGTTTCATTTTATTTTTAAATTAGTTACTTATTTTTATGACAGAAGACTTTTTTACTGATGACAAAATTAAAATAAAAATATTCAGGTCAATACAGTATATATATTGTATTGACCTGAATATTTTTGAGGACCTGAATATTATGTGATGTTTTTACTATCCCCTTTTTTTATGGATTGTGCCCCTCTCCAATTTTCATAGTCTGTGGGTATTGTTGGATAGATACAGAGCTGGACACCCTTCAGTCTCAAAACACAGTTGATAGTTTTTTATTGTGTGTAAATACAATCAGATCTATAGTGGTGCCACCTCCTTCAGATTTAATTTGTTCCAGGAGGCCATTCAAATTTCATTCAAACTCTGAATTGTTTGAAGTTTGAATTACTTTTCCCCAGTAGAAATAATGGAAAGTGAATTAATTCATTTTTCAGACTTTAAACATAACCCATTTCATTAATTTAAACAGCAAATACACTTAATTTAAGGTAAAAATAACACAATTTAGTGAGGAGTGGTGATGTCCTGTGTGGCTGATAAAGAGGAAGAAGAAGGTTACTGTTTGGAAGAGGAAACTTAAACCTCTTTAAACACACCAAGTAACTGTACTTCTGGGTTCTCTCTCTCTTCTGCATCTTACCACTATTAGTTGATGGTGATTTTGTTTCCTTTTTTTCTATGTAGAAGAACCTTTTCAATGTAATCTGGTATTGGTGACTTTTCTGGATGTTCCATCATATTGTCATTGAGCAAATTTATTATACAATGCAATACTAAAAGTTATCTACAGTGTATAATGAGGATAAACAATTTGGGATTCTATATAGAAAACTGACTAAAATATTTCATATTGAAAACAGGTTTTTTATTTAAGTATAAGAAAAGTATATTCTTGAAATTAATAGAATTTCTTTAGTATTGGTTATATGTAGTGATGGATTATTGCTGGACTGTAAAAGGAGGAGGAGGAAAAAATGCCAGGATAAATAGTCAAGTAGCTCTCCCAAATTATTAGTTATATATGTCCATATATTGTATAATCTTGTAAACAGTTTATCTACCATATAAAAGCTTTGTGTTTTGTAAATAAATGTACCTTTTTATTTTATCCAAAGNAAATTGTATTGTATTATATTTTTTAAATTTTAACATTTGTAAAATTTACAAATATAAAAAATCTTTAAAAACACTATTCTTTTGCATATTTCTCATTTGAATGAAATTTTTTAGTAGATTGCTGTCGTTGTTTAAAATGTCATGAAATTTTTTGCAAGAATTTGTTAAATTATATTTCACACATAATATGGCTTTCAAAGTCTCAACACTTAATTGTAATTTATCAGATGTCCACACTATATTTATGGTAAAAAAACATGTTCAGTCACGGCATTAGTTCCTGGTAAGAACAGCATGTATTCCACAATTTTTATATTCTGCACCATATTATGCACTATGTAACATGCAATGAACAAAATGTTTGCTTGTTTGGACAGCCTATGAACACATTCACTGCTCCGTTGCTGCAGCTGTGCACCCTAAACCATTTTCTGTTGATCTTTGCCACAAACACAAAGGGTTTTGTTAATGTAGCATTCTTTATTTCCAATGCTCACGCACACCTTGGCACTGATACGTGTGATACAAAATGATCTTTATAAATCTTAAACATAAGACATAAGTTTATGACACATAATTGACAAAAACTTAATTTTTCCAAAACTCAGGATTTTTTAAAACGCTACAGGATGCAGGACAAATTGTTAGAAATCGGGACTGTTCTGCCAATATTGGGACATCTGGTCACGTTAATATACATGGCTGTTAAGAACCGTGATAAATTGAACAATGAAATATTAGACTAGTATGCCATATTTTTGTGCATATAACTCAGATTATCTATATTTGAAAGTGATGAGGAGTGTATATTGGGATGGATTATGCAAAGGTTTTATTTTTGTTCTATTAATTTTATATGGGTTATATGATAACATTGTATATTATAACTTCAAAACTGTTGAAAATGAAATTGTTGAATAAAAACACTAAGTTTATTATTCTGTAAATTGTTGTTAAAGCAAACTGCAAGACTTTAACATCAGTTATATGTAAATTTTTGGATAGAAATAGCTGAACATCTGTGTTTTAATGGTAATCAAGCAAATTAAGACTCTATAGCATATTGATTATGTGCCAGTATGGCTAAACTAACATGAGTTTTAATGTTACATCTTAGATGGCTGAAGTGGTAAAGGTGTTAGGATAAAAATAGACAGCATTTTTTGACCTTTGAGCCAGCTAATAAGCAAGCATTCACACCTAGTGAGGCAGCTTTTCTACAGAATCTAGCAGTGCCTATAGTAGAGATGGAAGGCTAGTATTTTGAACAATGTTGATTTCACATCTGAATGTTCACATTTGCCAGTATGGACAATTGACAACTTCTGCTGCCTGTTTGTTATGGGGAAACCACTACATTGCATTGCAGTTGTATTTTGCTCCATAGGATAATACATTGAGATGACAGTCAAGTTGATGGTTGACTCAACTAAAACTGCTCGATCTGCTTTTATCTTAGTCTAGTATTCTGGAGATCCACATTCACGTTCAGTAAATCTGATAAGTTTCATAGATGATTTGACTTTGATATGATGAGGTTAGTCCTGTTGTGAGCCTGTTGATCTTGTAATGAGCAAAAAATAACTATATTAGTATCTTAGTATCTACCTAGAAGGAGTTAAAAGAAAAAGAACTTAGATTATAATATTGTAAATAATATACCCAGTTTAACTAATTGTAAATTTGTTTTTTATGTTTTATGCATTTATCATTTATAATATTACTTAAATGGAGAAAGTAAAAATATTTGATTATTAAAGAACAAATTTTATATCATCCAATATTTCTCATTATTTGAATTTTATTTCCAGTAAATGAAAACAGAAAATTTCCTGAAAATATAATAAAAAGACAACAACATGGTAAGAAACAATTTTTATTCTTCAAATATAAGAGTGGAACAAAAATTAATTTACACCTTGATTTAATTACTGTTCAGAAAGGGATAAAAACATTTTTCCTGATAGCACAACTGATAGTATTGTTGTCTCTTCCACTAAACAAATTTCAAATTTGTGTATAGTATTTGTTCAAACATAGCATAACATTTAAAAGTGTCATCTAAAGTTGAAACATTTGCAACTTTGTGCTTTTTGTGAGTAAGAAATCTCAGCCATGGTGAAATTTATCAGAAAATTAAGCACATATATGGGTGGAATGTTCAAAAATGAATGAGCTAGTTCAACGATTCCCAACACAGGGTATGTGATAGGTTGCTTACGGGTACAGAAAAAAGTTAGTTAGTTATGGCAGAAAAAATAATATATTATGTATCACAAATTAATAGTATTAAAAAATTATTGGGTAAAAAATGTTCGTTGCAATAATCACAAACTTTATTATACATTTCAAAATGCAAAAATAGAAATAAAAACTTATGCTGCCGATTGTACAATGCAACAGATCAATAAATGTTGCGCAGTTGGTCAATGGTAGTGGGAATACCATTATGTGTGATTAGTGATTATGCTACGGACTTTTGATGATGGGGTATGTTACCATTATTATTGTTATCTCTCAACAATATCCCCACGTGTTGTTTGAAAAAGTATTTTTTATTGTTAGCAAGTAAAAGGACATAGCTAGTTTCTCCAGATTTTCTCTACAAGTGGTAATTTTTTACATTATTTATTCAGTATTTTTATTAAATTTTTATTGACAAGACTGTCTTGTTTATAAAATTGTACTGCCTGCTGTGTTACCAGCTTAGAGGTATGAAAGAGTACATGTCAGAAGTTGCAATTTGACACAGAGTATTAGGAGCCCAAATCCTGCGTGCATAAAAGAAAAACAGACTTGTAGGTATTCAGGGAACCGAGAACCAAGTCAAAATAAAATTCAAAGTGGCAACAGTCTCTACAAACAGGCAGTGTGAGATTTACACATGCGTTGCTGGTTGGAAAGTTGGAAATGCCACGGGGAGTATGCTCATGAAAAAAGGTTGGGAACTGCTGATCTAGATGGATACAGAGGTACAGTACAGTACCTGTGCATTGGGGACTTGAGGCATATGTCCACCTTTAACATCAGGTTGCTCTTTTCTTAATCCCCAAGAAACTTTAATGTTTCATTTTATTTTTAAATTAGTTACTTATTTTTATGACAGAAGACTTTTTTACTGATGACAAAATTAAAATAAAAATATTCAGGTCAATACAGTATATATATTGTATTGACCTGAATATTTTTGAGGACCTGAATATTATGTGATGTTTTTACTATCCCCTTTTTTTATGGATTGTGCCCCTCTCCAATTTTCATAGTCTGTGGGTATTGTTGGATAGATACAGAGCTGGACACCCTTCAGTCTCAAAACACAGTTGATAGTTTTTTATTGTGTGTAAATACAATCAGATCTATAGTGGTGCCACCTCCTTCAGATTTAATTTGTTCCAGGAGGCCATTCAAATTTCATTCAAACTCTGAATTGTTTGAAGTTTGAATTACTTTTCCCCAGTAGAAATAATGGAAAGTGAATTAATTCATTTTTCAGACTTTAAACATAACCCATTTCATTAATTTAAACAGCAAATACACTTAATTTAAGGTAAAAATAACACAATTTAGTGAGGAGTGGTGATGTCCTGTGTGGCTGATAAAGAGGAAGAAGAAGGTTACTGTTTGGAAGAGGAAACTTAAACCTCTTTAAACACACCAAGTAACTGTACTTCTGGGTTCTCTCTCTCTTCTGCATCTTAGCACTATTAGTTGATGGTGATTTTGTTTCCTTTTTTTCTATGTAGAAGAACCTTTTCAATGTAATCTGGTATTGGTGACTTTTCTGGATGTTCCATCATATTGTCATTGAGCAAATTTATTATACAATGCAATACTAAAAGTTATCTACAGTGTATAATGAGGATAAACAATTTGGGATTCTATATAGAAAACTGACTAAAATATTTCATATTGAAAACAGGTTTTTTATTTAAGTATAAGAAAAGTATATTCTTGAAATTAATAGAATTTCTTTAGTATTGGTTATATGTAGTGATGGATTATTGCAAAAGCTACATAGTGTACTCTAGGACCACCACATGTCTAGGGGCACCAAATTGGTAGAAAAATTATTATTTCACTTTAAAGCTTTAATTGACCTGAAGGTTTTATTTACATGAAAATGAAAAACAGTATGGTGATCACTGTGTTAGAATTGTGTATACATACCATATATATCTTGCTGGTGAGTTGCATACATTTTATGTTTATGGTACAAGTGTAACATGTGCAGATACATACATAGTTTAGACTGTATTCTTATAAAGTTTTTCTTATTTTACATTACAGGATGATTTAAATTTTTAAGGAATTTATCTTTCTCAAATAATAATAATAATAATAAATAATTACAAAAAGAGAATGTCAATCAGAATATTATAAAACTGTGATTATATTATTGTGTTAAGTAATCTTATATTACGTTTTTAGAAATGTTGATGGAAGAAATGCATGTTGCACATCGTAAAATGTTTGGAGAGGGAAAGACGTCAACTGTTAGTTCAATTAAAAACAATTCTACAAATAATGTAAGTATTAATAGAGAGACAATGAAATTTATTTAAAAAGAATATAATAAAATAAATATTATTATTTTTTATAATAAGTCATTAACATCCCACAGAAATTAATTTTATTATAGACTGAGTTTAAAAATACTGTTAAATTTCATAACACTAAAGAAATATAAGTAGGCTACAAGTTTTAATTATATAAATTCTTACATTATATCAGTTGTATGCAAATCAGGAACTAAATATAATTTTCTTTAACTTATTGATTAATTAATTAAAATTCTTTAGGAATTATGGAATGTTAAAACATTTAATAGAACAAAATCACCACCAGAAGTACCAATAAAGAAAATTTCTTCAAGTTTGCCAGTAGAAAATGGTCACAGCACAAGTGACAAAAGTAATGAGAAAACAAAATCTGATGTTAGTATCAATTGCAGTGAAATATTTATTTATTAATTTTAAGAAATACTAATTAGATTTGTAATTTATATTCCAGATAAATGATTGTAGGCAAGAATCTGAAGATGATGTAAAAGTTTTTACATTTTTGAAGGTATTATAAAATCATTTAGAGTGTTTGAATAGAATTTTTATATTAGAGAAAAACTAATTGGGTAATATAAGATTCAAGAATTATAAGGAGAAATTATAAATACATTTTAAAAATAATTCTGAATTTTAATATTTAATAAAACAACAACCATTATATTATTGTATAAAAATCATTAGTAAAAAGTCATTAAACATGATCTAGTTATTTTAAATATTAATAATTCTGTTAAAAGTAACTGAGTTTAATTAATCTTGGTGACTTTACAATATTTACAGTGAAAGATTCTCACTGCAAGACACAGTTCCAACTAGATTTATTATAGATTATTTTAAACTTATTAATAATTTAAAACAAATTATTATATTCAATGCCTATATTATAATATTAGATATTTAATTATTTTTGATACATGTTGGTGTTTCTAATAAATTTCCACTTACTTAAAGCCAGGATTTTTCTTCTGTCTTTAGGCTTTCATCCACAAAACAACTTTTCTATAGCCAAATATCATAATAACATTTAATTTAGTTTTACTATTTTTCATGTATAAAATTCCATTAAATTCTGTTTTTGATACAGTTGAACTCTTGATAATTCAACATTCTGCAAAACCATGTCCTTGGAAATAAAAGAAAAATACACGTAATCTAATTCTTACCCCTATAACTTAACACTGGAATCAAATAAGTTATCATTCTTCACTGACAATACTTGATAACAGCATCAATTCCATGTCTTAACAAAGAATATAACCCTTTTTTCGAAGGTGCCATTGCAAAATGTTATAACTGAATGTCAATAACTTGAAAGTAGCCATTGAAAAGCCAATATATTTTTAAGTTAAAATTTAACCACAAATAGAAATAGTCACTATTGGTATATAGTTAATACATATATATATATAATTTGCATATATAAATATCTTTACAAATATTCTGTTCTTTAGATTAGCATCACTGCTAAAGATCATCATTTTCGGTAATTCGTCACCTTTTCAGTCCACATCAAGTTGAGTGTGTGAAACGCTACTGTAATAGAAATGATTTATGTAGGATTACATATAATAGTTAGTTAGCTTGTTATATGAATAAAACATAAATAGCAAACATTTCTAAGATATTGAAAGTTGTGTTTATTGTATGATGAACCTAATTTTTATTCATGCAAGTATATGATTTTTTTATTTCCTATAGTTATTCCAGCTTAAATAACAGACAGATAAATTAATATAACAATAAATACAATAAAATCTATATGTATATCTGTATTCTAAAGATGTTGTCTTAATGCGGCAACCATAAATCTCTTTTTTTTTTGTCATTTCTTTTACAAGATTTAAAACATACAAAAACATATTAGTTATTAAGTTTTTTATGTTGTTTATTGTGCTTCTTCTTCTTCTCTTTTCTATTGTTTCTTTCAATAATATTTGTTAATAAATCAAATTGCCGTCTTGTTTTTCAAGCATTGTAATGATTTCTTTTTTACATTTATTCTTTCTAAACTCATCTGTTTGATTTTGTTTCTTTTATGAGATCTGTACTTTTGTCTGAGATCCACATTTCTATGGCTTCTAAGTGCCTGATATTCTATTTCCTCAGCATTCAACTCTTATTTCTGCATACGAGTGCATTCCATACAAAAGTCTCAATAAATGAAAATTTTTTCATATCAATTAATTTTTATTTAACTGAACTTACTTTTGTTACAGCATATTTGGGCTTTATAAATAAGAGAAAAATCACTAATAATCTTACATATAGTTCACAATATTCTTGCACAATAATATTAGTGTCCTGAGTACAAAGTCATTGAGAGCTTTTATGAGGCCCAGGATAAGGTCCCTTTCAGCCTTTTTTGTTTCTTGAACAAATGAAACAGATATCATCTATGTTCATTACAGAAATATTCTAACATTTCTTACTTTATTAAATAGATATATCACTTCGTAGCAAACAATTTTTCTGAATAAAATGAAATATAAATTTTCACAACCAGTGTTGTTGCTGACTCTGATATCAAAGTTTACTATTGATAAAATGTGAAGTAAGAAAAATACTTTTTAATTAATTAGTATCTAAAGAAATTTCTCAGGGCACGATTGCAGCAGTCAGTTCAAAATAATTGATTTTTTTTCGAAATTTAATTATTTTAAATTCTACTATCTATTTGAGTTTAGTCAAGCATTAGTAAGACATACAAGATTAGATTGATGTCAATCCTTAGACCCAGAGGCAGATTTAGAGTGGGGTGCAGGTGCAGGTGCACCTCTTCTTTTTCCAAGTAAAGTTGGGTACTTGGGGTAGTAAAATGTTTTTTAAGGTGTATTGTTTAGTTTCTATACTCACCTCTAAAGATTTCTGGATCACTTAGACCTAAAATTTCATAACAACCTTTTCCATTCCTTCTGGGTCTTGTGCTTTCATCATTTTTTTCTGATATTATTTTGATGCTGTACTTTGTTTTATCTGTTCAGTATAGTCATTACTTGGTCTGCTTCTTGATCTTGACACTTTTAGTATTGTCAGGATTTTAGAGAAACCAAAAACCTGACTTTCTTTTCTGCTGGTTTGACTCTTTCTCTAAAATTTCTATATTGTTCCTAGAATGACTTAGGAAGAATTTGTGTTGCCATTTATTTGGAATGTCAGTTAAAGTGGTTTCCCCTTACATTTCTCACAGAATTATTTTTTCTTAAGCGAGTTACTTATTGAAGCTGCTGTTTTATAATTCCAGAAGTTTATGTTTTTTAGAGCATTTCAAAGTATTTTATTTATTCATTTATTGTTACTAATTCTAATATTACTAGGTATTATCATAGAAATCAGATTTAAAAATTTTTTCTTGAATTTTATAGAACAATAAAGATTAATTTATAAATTTTATTTGATTCTTTTCTTAAGGATGGGCCTCTAAACCTAAAGATGGAAGGAGGTATATATTCATCTGTAGAAGGAATAATTACAGTAGGCGAATTATGGGAAGGAGGATTTATTCCCCTCGATGGCAGAATTGAAGTTGGCGATCAGATTTTAAAGTTTGATGAAACGAATGTCGAAAACGTATCTTTAACTTTTGCCAGTGCTGCATTAAGAGATGCAATGAATAGCTCAAAGGTAATAGATTACATATAGATTACAAAATTTATTTTAATTTCTGAAAAATTAAATTAAAAAAATATAATAAAATTTTCAGGAAAATCTGAAAATTGCAGTTAGAAAATTAAAGAAAGACATGTAAGTAAAATATAATTATGGAAAGTACAGTATAATACAGAAAGCACTTATGAGTCAGATACAGTAGAGTATAGATGATCGAAAATCAATTACTTGAAAAGGTGATTAACTGAAATCGGTTTCGGAGAGTTTAATTCCAGAAATTATGAGTTCTTTTATGTAGCAACAATTGTTGATGAGCTTTCATAAACCCATTATTGAACTATTTCGTTATCGTAAAGTTAGGTTTTATTTATTACAGTACAGATAGAAAAGCATATATAGTATAATTAGTCTTGGCTTATAATGCATTAAATACTTCACTATACCTACACACAGTGAAGCATGTGTATGGTATATGTACAGTATATACAGTATATATGAGTGTTGTACTTTATTTTAATATTAAGTTTATTGTTTGTGCTTTTTGCCTTTAATTCAAAGTCTCATCAGTATATTGTGGGTTTCAATGAAAAACTATTTGTTTTAAATAAACAAGCAGACAATTTTATTATTTGTAGGTATTAAATTTTAAGTGCCTTAACCATAATTTTACTGTTATAATAGAATTAAACTAAATACATTAATAAAGTAAAAATATTAATTTTTATTCTTTCTCTATGGAGTGTGATTCTTTATCCAAAATTGTCTCCCCGATTATTTCAGATAAAAGTATTTCAACTAAAGGATTTCATTGAACATAAATAAATATTTAAAAGATAAATAGTTTTCTCTTAGAACAGTTCTATTAATTTTTGACTTAAATTTATTTTATTCTAGGAAAAACTGTAAAGAATCTTGAAGTATGCAACATACTGAAAATATTGTAAATAGTTATAATTCTATATCCTGCAAATTCAAATGATTTAAGCTTTTGTAAAAATTCTTATAAATCAAGATGCCATTTTTCTGTGTAACCTATAATAACTTAAATATTGTACTAATTTATACTTTATATGTATTAAAAAAGGCACAAATTGTAAACATTGAACAAAGTTATCTTGTACAATAAAATCTTTTACAATCAATTTAATCAAGTTACAAACAATTTCCTTTGAGAACAATTTATTTGTATTGTTGTGTGTATATAATATAGTTACATAATGCACAGTGCAAGAAGAATTTTATATAGAAAAACATTAGATCCATTCTCTGGTATTGCTTCTAATAAATGTAATAGCTGAATACTAAATTATCTTAAGCATTAATTTTTTGAAATTATATAAATTAGTTTGAACATATGATATTTTATTTTTGTATGGCATTAAATCATTGATTATTAAGATTACAATTTCAAGAAGATTGTTTAAATGGATTTCAGATTGAAGAAGTGAAATAATGTTAATTCTTCTGATTCAATTTTCATTTCAGGAACTGTTTATGTTAGAAACATTAAAAGATATTTACCTATACATAATTATGAAACTATGGCATTCGTACATATCTAATAAAACAATAATAGAAGTATCTTTATGCATAAAACCGTGGCAGAAAATTTCCGGAAGAAAAATAAAACTTGGAATAAAGCCACACCACAGTGCCTATGAGAGCAACCATTGTTCCATAAATGCAAGTTTATAATTGTAATTTAAAATCACGGTATAACTTGTACTACTATCAAATTGTCTTCTAAACACAGATAACTTGCGGGTTTATCCACGAAAATACAGAATAATCAAATGAAAATAAATTCATCATCTATTTATGGTATTATTATAATTACATCTGTAATAATATTTTATTAATAAAAACTTTTTATATTTTTAATTACTATAAATTGGCAAAAAGCTTAATCTAGTGTAAAGCTTGCAACTCTTGGTATAAGGGTACAGCATATTAGGAATGTAAACAAGGATGGCGTGGCAGTTGACATGATGGATATGGCAGACATAGAAAATCTTCAGGAGGCTGCTTGTAACATTCCAGGTTAAACTGCTGAGTGTGCAAAGAAGTGACTTCCACTTTTAAAAGTAAGTTCTATGCCTAAGACTATTGACTAGAGTAATCTATTGGAATCTATTATTGTGCAAAACTTTCACCTAAGCAAACATTATACTTCAGAGGAATTTGTAAATAATGTGAGAATCAGATTTCTGGTTATCCAGAAAAGTGCAAATCATATATCACGGGTGATTGAGGTCACACCCCACATTCGGGATCTCATTCTTAAAGGGGAATTAAGTATCCAATGAACAAGATACCCAGTGACTGATTTTGTTCCTGTCCATCAACGTTTTAAGTGTTTGGCTTACGGGCATTTTGCAAAGAACTGTCAGGCGGAATCATGTGTTTGTAGCCATTGTGGTTGGTTTTTTTTTTAACTCTTTGCCCTGTGGGCACTAAGAGGGCCTTTTTTTGCAAGCTTATTATGGGTTCGGCCAGGCCCACAATGGGGCTGCCAGGTGGTGAGGGACAGGGCCCAACATATCCGAACAAACCACCCCAGGAATTTTTCGAGGGGTGGTTTGTTTTTCCTGAGGATTTTTCGACCTGTTCGGATTCGAGCCTGGATCCCCAGAGCGGTAGGCTGCCACTTTGACTGCTCGGCCATCTGGCCTCTGCCATTGTGGTGGTAAACATCTTTATAAAGACTTGAGATAATAAGAACAATACCGCGAGGTGTGCTAACTGTAAAGGAGAACCTAAAAAAGACCACAACACTATAGACAGCAAATGAAAGCACGAATAATTAACAGAGTTGACTTCCTACTGTAATTGCACTACAACTTAAGTATGAACGTCTGAGCAAAACTCAACAATGAACCTTACCATTCTAAGGTATTGTGTTAATATACTTTTCCTGGGAAATCTTTTCTTTTTCTAGCTAACAATGATGTGGAGTCTGTCCTATGGATAACTTAGGTTATCGTGGACTTTTGCGGCAAATGGCTACAAGGGTTTGTTTGTTTGTTTGTTTTATTTATTTTGTACTCTTGCAGCTACATTGGCATTTCATGTTAGCGGCATTTTATTTTGTGTTGCGGTAAGAAACCGCCAAATCTTCTGCCTGTAATTATGTTCTGTTGTCGTTTTCTGTATTTTAATATGTATGTTCGACTGTAACGTACAGTCGTTTTATAACATTTTTCAAAGGCAAATTCTCTGGGCTTCCTAAGCATGCACCTCATGCTTAAAAAAAGTTTTTGACTGTCAATATACTTTTTATATGATAACAAATATGCCAATAATTTATTTTAATGTGTAAACTCTTTTATCATTTTTATTTGCTTTTACAGTCTCGGATTTTGTCTCGGATAACGAACGTAATGTTATTTTGTGTCAAATTTTAGTTGGTGTTTAGTAGGCATGCGCGAGTTAAGCATTGCTTTTCCGAGTGTTTGTGCTATACTTCTTTTTTCAGTTTTGTGATTTATATATTTAATCAATATGGCATCCAAGAAAGAAAAAGTCATAGTGGCAATAGAANTTTTTGACTGTCAATATACTTTTTATATGATAACAAATATGCCAATAATTTATTTTAATGTTCAAACTCTTTTATCATTTCTATTTGCTTTTACATTGACAGCCAACTGCAAGTCGTTTTAAGTCAGTGCCATGCTTGCGGAGATCTCTTGCTCGTGTGGAGGTTTACCGCAGCAAACGCACGCGCTTGACATCATTTGAAGTATTTAACACGCCTGATTGTATCGAAAGCTTGCGGTACCCAGTTATTAACATACATGTATTGTGTACAGGGCGGATCTACATAGGGACTAATAGGGCTTCAGCCCTGGGCATCTGGTGTCAAGGGCCCACAAAAATTGAATTATTATCATAAATTTTTAATGCTTTTTCATTTTAATATATATCATATATTTCATATGTAGATATAATGGGTTTTATAATAGTCCATACTTTTTATTCATGCCAAATAATGTTTCTGCCTATTGTTTAGTGCTAGAGATAGGCTATTATTCTTATAACTTTCAGCATGATAAAAATTTTTGGTCAGAATTTGTTCCTAACATTTTCATTTTCGGGGTTATCAATGTAATAGTGAGTGGTAATAAGTATGTTCGGAGGTTTGATAGTGCTAATGCGGAATCGAACATATTTTTAAAGATTAATAGTAATGAAATGGATGAACGAATGTCTAATTCAGGGCAAGCTTTTTCTGTGTAAGGACCTCATTTATAACTTTTTCGACTCGTGGATCGCATAAAAGAAAAAAATGAAAAAAAGACGGTAAATCAAAATTATTTATTCTTAGGCTATATGATTATAAATTAACATATTAATCATTGCTAGCTTTAAATTAATTTTGATGTGAGTCTGATAGCCGACTTTTATATAGAATTTTTGCTGCATACGTCCTTAAATTAAGAAATTGATATATTTATTAATTAACTCCTTGGGACTAGCAATTTTTGATATTAATGTAATTAAACATAAAAAATACTTAAAACTGAAAAAAACGAAAGAAATGTGTTAATTTTGAGGAAAAAGCTTCAAATTTTATTTTCCTTTGTCTCGCCTTTCTGTGAAATCTGACGCTGATGAGTCATTGTTTACACAGCTGGATGACCTTGAACACAGCTGGAGTTGGATTTCCCGGGACATTCTCATAGAAGTCTCGGGAGGCGATGGGTTTATAGTAGGGTGAATACTAGCTGGCCGTATATTTTTAAATATTTTTAAAAAATTAAAATTTTTATTGCGATTTCCGACCCCCCGACTTAATTAAACTTATATATAATAAAATCTATTAATTAAAAAAATTAAAAAACTATCGGAGGTCGTTTTTGACATCAGAAACTAGCTTTAAATAACTTTACCGAAGGAAAATCGGTGCACTACAACTTTAGAACGATGAATGAAATTTGATATCAAACTCCCGTTAAAAAACAATTAAAAAGCAATTAAGCGTGAATCGTGCGTCATTAAAGGTAAATTAAAATCGCGATAAAATTTTTTCGCGCGGGAAAAAAATTTTGAAAAATTTGGAGACTTAAAAACATTCCAAAAATCCAAAAAAAAAAGTCAAAAATTTTTTGGTGGGTCCAAACGCCCGAGTTTTATGTAACGCTATGTAACTTGCCCGAGATACGTAAGTAAATTACGTAAATTACTTTGTGCGAAACGAGTCTCACAAAATACAGTGGAACCCCGGTTAACGACCAAATCGGTTAACGAACTTTTATTTTGCAAAAATTTTGTCTCGAATAACGAACAAAATTCGGATAACGAACGTAACGTTATTTTGTGTCAAATTTTAGTTGGTGTTTAGTAGGCATGCGCGAGTTAAGCATTGCTTTTCCGAGTGTTTGTGCTATACTTCTTTTTTCGGTTTTGTGATTTATGTATTACTCAATATGGCATCCAAGAAAAAAAAATCATAGTGGCAATAGAAAACGACAACGCAACGCAATATGAACGACAATGCGCTATCGCATTTGAAAAAAATTTTGATTAAAAGACTAAGACAATCAACTTTAGATCAATTTCTTGTTCCTTATGTAAAGAGTTTGTTTGTTAAGTTATGGCAATGCAACACTTGGGCGATCTGCCTAGAGGAAATGCCTTCTGGGAGGTGTTTTTAAGGGAAACTGGCCCCTATTTAGGCGTTACAGACGTGGAAAAAACCCGGAAAACTCCAAGTGGCCAGCCCCTCTGAGCGAGGTGCGAGCTCACGAACGAACTCCCCGTGTTCAGGGTACGAAGACCGCTTAGCCACTGGTGGGCTTTCTTACCGAAAGAGACTTCGACTGGAAGAATTTTCCGATTAAGTGCTACCCGTTATTTTTTTGGAGGGGATTCCCCTTCTAAGTATTAAGGTTCGTATATCCTCACTTTTCTGTCACCAACTACAACAAACGAAGGTATGTACAGTGCTAGTTTATTAAACAAAGTTTACATGTTTGTTGCTGTAATGTTAGATACATTTTCATCGAAGAAAATCTGTTGTATATTACAAATAAAATCACAAAAATTTCGGAGACTACAACGGTTTAATTACATTTGCATTAATTTCTATGGGAAAAATTGCTTCGGTTAACGAACAATTCAGTTAACGAACGGAGTCGCGGAACG